TAAATAAACTAGGTTTGAGGCCATGGAAGTAGCTCATTGTAGGGCCCAATTCAGAGGTCTTTTAGACACGATAATAAACATTCGGCTTCCATACAAGACGGCATATTCCTTGACCAACTAAGCGACTATTGGCTTTTTAAGAACAACTCTGAATCGTAGATTTCGCGTGCAGCATTTTAAGGTTATAACATTGAAATATATCGACTGAACCAACGTTGACTACGAGGCCCGTATCATGATTTTACTTCCTACCACCGCAGCGCTGCTATCCATGTAACATCAGCTAGAAAACACCAGTCCCTGGAATTTACTAGCAAATCTCTAATATTACAATCGATACTAAGGGAGTATAAATTTTACAGTCTGTGGTTTATTTATGTCTAGGATGGCATTTCGTCGGTATTAGTGTATACGAGAGCAGTACGTTTTCTCGTTGGATGTGCTACTAATGTTGTCCAGTCAAATGAATCCGAAAGTAGACTGCACAACGTCCTGATGAATCGTAAACAAAATACTGACAAAATACGCTCCGTTAAACGATGCTAGTCACACAAGTCAAATCAATTCAAAGCCGTGTTCACAAAGTCTGACAGGCGTTGGGCCCAAAATATAAATCTCCCAAAGTTCTTGAAACTAATGACTGTTTATAAAAATTACCAACAAGTAAGAAAGCGTACAGACTGAAAGGCATCTGTGTGTTGAAACCACACATTGCTTCAAATCGTCATCATGGCGGTGGGTGAGGAACGTAGCAATCCCTGAAACGTTTGTGAACTTCTACCAGATTACACGGCGCCACAACCAGGAAGACAGCCATCTTTAAACTCACCGCCGTGGAACCTCAAATCCTACTGTGCGTGATAGTAGTTGTATTGATTGCTTTTTGAGGCATTATCAATTGAAAATATGAGAAATATGTAAAAGTTTACCTGTTCTGAATGTATTGTTGCCAACATGAACGTCAGGCCTGTTGCTGTTTACTAGTTGTATCCTGTGATGTGTGTTGCTTGTTGGATGCACTGTTCCCTTCTGTGGGCTGTTTGCTTCGCGCTATACGTCCTGTAGGTGTGGGTATGTTATTCTCCCGCTTTAACTCTTTTGATTCTTTCCACGTGACATAGAGTCGTGACATTCGTGGTCATGACATCGAATTCCACGATTTATGCTACTATGGAAACTCGACGTTCCTATGCCTTGACACTGAGATCATCGTCGTGATTTTAACGTCACGCGATCAAACCGAGTTTGATTTTGGTGGAATTTCTTACTGTAGTGACTTTTCCACAGTGAAACTTAAGTCTCGCTTTGTCGTGACGTTGGTGGGAGTACCAGACAGCGTTTCGCTTTCTCGGGTTTTGTTTCGTGTGTGGGGAAAGAACTTCATTAATTTTTAGTGGAGTATTAAAAATATCCATGTGTATGGGACAAAGTTCATCCGGACTTCAAAGACAGGCTTGATAGGAGCGAATACCACCTCGCTTGAGAAATCCGTTTTCTATCGACAAACGTCACGACATGATTAAATATGAAAAATAGCCACACTCGCAAATGTCGCACCGAACATCGTAGTCAAATTTTTTAACATTCCCTCTTTGTACTCGGGAGGTTCCGGGTTCAAATCTCGGCTTTCCTGAGTGGGGTTTTTCGTAGTTTTGTTCAGTCCCTCGAGGAAAATGCCTGGAGATTACCTTAAATGAGGCCACAACCGCTTCCTTCCACATCCTTTCCAATTCATTACTTACTATCATCGTCTCATTCGACGAGTTTGAGCTACTTAAAAATCGTCTTTAAATAAACTATAAATAAATGTCACATGGAAGCCTTCCTTATGTCTAGAGCCAAGTGGAATAAATTTGACAGTTTGTGCTCCTATTAGTTTATCCTATTTTTATATAAATAAATATAATGTTCTTTAATATTTATGTATATATAAGATTTTATATGATGTTATGGAATTTCAAATTACTTACATATGTTTTCACAGGTTAGGTTACGTTAAGTTAGGTTAGGTTAGGTTACGCTGACCAACAATAATGGGGTTAATACCAACATGACGTAGAAAATAAAGCCCTGTTCATTAATAAATGTCTACGTATATTTGTAATAATGGAAGAGAATTCATTTTTCGATACTTGTGATCATTTATTTTCTAATAACTGTCCCATAGTTATTTAAAAATAAGTATAATGTTATTAGAATTGTCAATATATTATTTTATTTTGAAGAACAATTTCTAATGCCTTTAAAATTCAAAAGTATAAAGTTATGGCCGTAAACCTGTCGCACTGCCTCTGTATGCTGAATGTCTCTTGTAAAATTCCTTCTGGTCTGAATATGTTTGACATTTTAATAGTTTAAACCAAAAACTATTGACTTTTCGACATCAAAAATTGTGCATAATTAAGGTAAATTTTCGATACGATTTCTTTTAATAAATGCTAGCATGTATCAACTTAATTCTGATGAAGTTCTGTAATGGTATTTGGAGATACAAAGAGAAGACAATATTATATAAGGAGAAACAACACAAGAATAAATAAAAGGAGAAACTGCTTTTTAGAGGACCCGAGAGTTCATTGTTGTTTAAAAGAGCTCGCCGTTGAGCTATAATGGCCAGCTTAATTTAGTATAGTCTGAGATATCCGTGGCAATAATAGCATCTGATCTACGCGTAAGTCTCACAAGTTTTTATGTTCTCTGATACAAATTTTGTTCGCGTTCATTTGCCCCATTCTCACTGTCTCGACATCGAAATTGATATATGTCATTTCTGAAACAAATCTGACATTTGGTTTGCTTATAAAAATATTAATTATAGCTCATTCAGACTATGTAACCTAAAACATCATAATTTACCTGCGGGTAACGGACAAAAATTGTAACATGAGTAATACCCGCAAATTTATTTATGGTTGCAACCACTTTATTAACGAGATATGGCAACGCAGTCTAGCGACGAGGCATCGACCCGACACGCAGCGCCGCCACTCCGTCCGTGGGAATAAATGACGATCACCTTACAGTACCTTACAAGCAACCACCCTAGACAGTCAGGGGCCACCTATTTACATTATTTAATGAAAAATTGTCTCAAGTAACACTCGTACGGCGACAAATCAAGTGGTTTATACATGATGGAGCTAGCGATCTTCACATTTGCCGATTTGTGGGGCCTACCCGAAAGAGCAAACACGTGGGACGAACTTTGATGTTTGATTCAAGTGGTTGCTACAGCAATATGACACATACCTGGAATTTATCAGGAATTATTAGAGTCGCAGGGCTAACGGACAGCATTTTAAGAAACTTTCATAAACTGCGTAAATATTAAGACGCTGTTATGTTTAAATATAATAAATAAACACACTCCCAAAACACAACGTTCTTCGCTAACAAAGTGTCCATATATTTACAGGGACATTATGGCAACAACATATTGTATGAAATTTAAATAAAAGTATTCCCTTTCATGTAGGATTTGAGGTTTTCACGGCAGCGAGTCTGAAGATGGCTGTCTTCTGGGTTGTTGCGCCGTGTAGTTTGGTAGAATTTTACCGACGTTTCAGAGGTCCTTGCTGCCTCCAACTCTGAAACGTCGGTAAACTTCTACCAGACTACACGGAGTAACAACCCAGAAGATAGCCATCTTAATTCCCTTTCATGTTCTCCGCCGGTGTTTAAAATACATGTTTACAGATGGAATAACTTAAAATATACCATTTTGATACATGTAGGGGCTCCTTTAGACTCCAGATACATTTAACGACCACCTGTCTGACTTCTTGAACTACTCTACAGATTGCCCCGGAATTATTCGCTCATAAAAAAACATTGCGTACAAATTACTGAAATGAGAAAAAAACAAAACATGAACGAAAGCAGGGGATTTTGTTTACTTCGGTTGGCTGCAGTGCAGAAACATGGCGGCGACAATCTAACATGAGGAAAGTGCGTGAGTTTACAGTGACGACAAAATGCACTCGGGTCGGCTGAGCCCAAAATTCAGGTTCGCACCGGAATTTCAAGACTTTTTGAACGCAACATCTGGCGGGAACTCATGTGGCCGGGGACTTCCGGTAACACGATCCCACCACTCACACCATATAATTTCTACCTGTTGGGTTATGTAAAATATTTTTTTACGGGGCCAACTCATTGCGGCTGTATTTTATTCAGTCATTCCAACATGCGTAACAATATGGCAATAAATAACTAAGTATTTTTGTAAGATTCCTCTTTTAACCATCGTAAAATTGTACGTCTCATGCATAAATCCTACTGTCAGACTGTTCTGTAAAACAAATAACATTTCTCATACTAAATTCGAAAGCTATAAAATTCGAGATAAGATAACAAAACAGATATTATTTCAATGCGACAGAAACAAACAATTCCAGAACTCAGTACCCACAATTCACCAATTTGTCATCATTCTGATGAAAGAGTTAGTAAACTTGTCTTCAACATCGGTTAATATCTACCAGACATTTCTCGAAAAAATTAAATATGTTATTATCTTGAAAGTTTCAGGCCGATGAGAGCAAAAATAATGTAGACTTGATCAAACTGTCGAGACAATTCATAATTAAATAACAGTGAAGGAAAAATTACACACAGAATTAGTATTATTATAAATATTTATCATATTTTACAATAATAACAACCAAACAAAGAATATGGCGTTCAGTTAAATTACGAATTGTCTGTACCAAATGATATGTACGTCACATAGTATTAAAAGATTTACTAAGGGGTTTAACAAATTCTGATAACGACCGAAGTGTTTGTAGACAATGTAACATGTTCAAACCGGTTTCTGTGCACCACGTTTCCAACCTCCCTTCCCCAAGCCAAGAGTCACGCAGAAATAGATCCTGCAGTATTTGGTACATCTAAAAATAATAGGTTCCGCCAACTTTTTAGGTTAGGATGCCATAGCACGCAACAACACACTGAACCAGAATCATTTTACAAACAATTATTTTCGTACTAATACTTACCCAATCTTCCTCCACGCTAAAAAGGAGTACCAGAGAGAAAACATGGCCGTTAATCTTCTAAACGAAGATAATTGCACCGGTCTGATGCAGTTCAAACAGCTGATGCTTCTGATGCACGTTGAATATTCCGGTCCATAAAATGACTCCAAGAAAATATTTACCTTTAGAAAAGGAATAATAAAACTTATATTATTTTAACAAACTATAACCTAATTTTACACCGAACGTTTATGACGAGAAACACGTACACATGTATAGGTCACGACACTACAGTCAATTTTCAACCACACGCATTTCACTTGTTTAGATTTCGTAGTGCGTTTGTCAACTGTTTCTTCTTTTCAAGGGCACCTGGACAGTCAGTACGTGATGAGGTTCAGTCTTCGAAATCACAATGTGTATGCATGTTCTCCGTACACTTGTTAATTGCGGCGTTAGTATTTAATGTGTATCCCTTCAATTAACAATGGGACTGTTATAATTTGAAATGAGTGCCACCTCCGTCGTATCCCTTCGCGAACTTGCATGCACTGAAGACTGTCGTGTACTATGATCTCTCCCTATTGATCGTGCGCTGGAACTACTACGCCAATCGAGTACGCTGAGGAGACTACATGCATGTCTACGAGCAAAGATGCGTTCAGATTTATTAGAAATTTTTATTGCCATCCTCACTGTCCCTCGTTATTGGAAGCAAATGATACGACTTTCTGGAGCGCATAAAAGAGGGTAAGGGGTTTGGTTACCCACTGCATGAACTGCAGAAATATTTCACACGTGGAGGCTTATGAATGACAACAAATCAGAAACAGACACTTTATGCCTTGCGATACGTCGAATTATTCTGTGGATCAGAAATTTAGAATTTTTTTCTGTTTCTATATGTAATTCAACTGGTCTAACTCGTGTCAAAATTTATTGCAATTTTAAATATGATACAGATTATTATTATTATTATTATTATTTATTTTATTTTTTGTTTGTTTTTGTATTGTTAGTGCTTGGATGTTATTGACCTTATTGGCTGTTGTTAAGCACTTTAATAAATGAATTGAATTGAATTATTGAATATTACCAGTCACTAAGGACGTCACGGCTTATTCGTTGTATTTTTAATTACCTTCTTTAAATATTTTAGTTGTTTTATAAGTTGCTTTAATTAAGTCAAAGCTGTAGTATGCCTCTGTATGGAATAATCATACATTTACTGAATCTAATAAAATAGAAGGCAATGATAGAGCTATGCCATTTTGTGTTATTGTAGTTTTTATTTGGTATTTACGTAATTATGATTTAATTTAAGTTCATAAAATATGCATACAAACAAAACTGTTTACACTATGAAGGACACTAATACCAAACGCGTTTCGACCTCAAGAGGTCATCATCAGTGGCAAATAAGAAGTTAAATCATATAATATAAATCACGGTACGCGAGGTTTTATGATTAATTTAAGTTGTTTATAAATTATAGAAAACTTTATTCCAAATGATGGTGATCTCTTAGCTTTATTATTTATGTATTTCTTAAAGGGAAAAATCAATTGTCATTGATATCCGCTTGACTACAAGGCAAATAAGAGAATTTTATACTTTCAGCATGAGCAGTGCATTGAGACGTCATTGCTGCAAATGACTTATGCAGATTTTTGGACATTTTTTTTGGCAAAAACCTTACCCCCTTTGAGGTCACGATAAAGTGATTAGATCAAAAATGTAGATAATTTAGTTTTTTTGTTCTATTTATCGTTTTGTTTTCTGTACTTCGTAGTTATTTTATTTTCTTGTTCTGACACTGTAATTGGCTCCTGAAGCTGTTTATTCAGCACGTAAAATAAATAATTTATTTTAATTATAATCTGAGCCTCCGTAGCGAGCGAACAGGTTTTGCAAGTGCGAGTAGCACGTGTTCTAAGATGGCTGTCTTCTGAGTTGTATTCCTCCATCAGGACGATGAGTAATCGCCCTGATGACGGAGGCAGTATGACCTCTGAAACGTCGGTAAACTTCTACCAGACTACACGGCGCTAAAACCCAGAAGACAGCCATCTTTTCACTCATCGTCGTCTTTCAAATTGACTGCACTCCTGCTTAGGTAGACAGCCATTCTAACACGCGATATAGAAACATCAGCTGTTATCAGTTCTCCATTAGTTATTATTAGTTTTGTATTTACTTTTCATATTTTATGTAGAATTTAGTATCTTAGTGATGTCACTGGTAACTAACCCACAGTATCAAAGACCATTTGGATTGCTCCAGCAGCGGGAACATTTTTAACAAGGGGCAATGTTTTACGACAACATTTAGCATTACGTCACGACTTCAAGGTCGACTTAGACAGTACAGGTACAACGTGTCGGTATTGTAGCAACCTGCAAGGTCTGCTAAAAAAAATTATGATTCGACCTAGTGTCGGTATTGTAGCAACCTGCAAGGTTTGCTAAAAAAAATTATGATTCGACCTTAAACAAGTACCGATTTGTACAGGCTCACAGCCGTTTTAATATAGGATACAGAAACGTCAGATACCTCTCAGTTCCCAATCAGTATTCTTGTTTTTTGGTGTTTCATGTTTCGTGTCTAAAGATGAGTGAAACTGAGTTCTTATATTTTGTCTGTCGGTGAGTCCACGTTTAAGTGTTTCGAATGTGTGAAAGACTTTCCAGGGAAGAGACCACTCCCAACCACAACAAGAGACATTTGATAACCTTGTTGAAAATTAACTTCAGAAGATCTGGTAAAACTTACTGTGGAGGTGAAAAACTTTACAGAAGATGACGAGTTTCTTAAATCTGTACGAATTTTATCGGCACAGAGAAGCAAATCAGCTTCAGCTAACGGCATTGACGATCCAATGTACAGAGCAACGCCATCTGGATCTACCGTTTCGACTTTTAACACGTCAAGGATTAAATCTTACAGGGACGTTTCGGTAGTTGACTTGCAAAGTAAGGAATTTTCAGGTCAGATGGTTTCACAACACTGAACCATAAAATAAACTTCCTTCCTTCAAGGAAGTCCTCCATCTCCACCATAAAAAAGTGACGTCAACCTCTGATCGGAGTACGAAACTGTTTCCCTGTCTATTGTATCAAAAAAGGAAAAGTTCAATACCCTTTTTTCTCACTTTTGCCCGGAGGTTATGACTGTTAAATGCTGAGACGTCATTGAAAGATAAATTGAACTGTAAGAGGTAGATCCGTGCCAGATTAATCTTTTCATTTTTTGGTCAATGAAGATTATTGTCCATTAAGTATGGCCAAAAGGGGGGCTTATTGGTTATCGCTTTTGTGTCAGAACAACTCAAGTTTGTGATCTGACTGTTGCTAATATACCACCTACGATGACCCTGGTTCGCATTTATTATAGTAAAGAGATAACTGTAATTACGATAATTTTTTTATTAAAATGTCGGAGGTGTAAAAACTAGATTTGGTGATTTTATTGACAATGATTTTGCTAGTAAGTTTAAAATGTATTGCATTACGGAAATTTGTCTTAGTGAAACTATATTAAATTATATTTATTTCCGTATTCACTTACATGTTCAGTGCTGACAGGAACTACTAGTATTTGACGTAAAAAGAAACTCTTAAAGATTACAATTTCCAAGTCATCGTGTGGAGTTAAACGGAGATATAATTTGGAAATTACTAAGAACTGTGTGTGAGTTGAAATACATACTATGACAATTTACATAAAGGGAATCATTATTTCGCTCCTGATTTTATGGTAAACATTATTGAAAGTCCTTGGAACTTCTTACAAGTAAATTTAAATTCACATCTACATTATTTTATTATGTTGGGTGATTTTAATATACATAAATATGGCTGATTTAATGATACCCCATTTTCTAATATTTATTACTACAGAGTCACGCAATCAATAACATTTATTGATGGTTCGAATGGATTAATAAACACACAATATGACTGTGGCTATATTTAATCCTTTCACTCAACATTTTCAATCGTAGTTCACAACCTGGAAGCTTTTTCTTAATATGGAAGCATAGTGCCTTTATTTCACGAAGACAGTGGCGCTTTAGTTGCTAATTATAGAACTATTTCGATTTTGGAATTATTTTTTCAAAACTGTTGAAAATATTGTACACGACATTTCCTTTAATTTAAAATTCAAGTTACACACATGCAAGTATGGTTTTATCAAATCAAAATGTACGATAATCAATTTGATTACTTACTTAATGAAGTTCTATCTTCTGTTCGTTCACAGGGAATGTAAGTCACTGTTTATTTTTATCTTAGCCAGACCTTCGATAAAGGAGCGTATACTCTTATTGGACAAGATCGATAATCTTGAACTATCTCCACTTTAAATTAAGTGGTTTCAAAGTTACATATCAAATATCTCTTCCTTCGTTCACAACTTATGTAAGTATTCTTATCCTTATTCTGTTATCTTGAGTACAACGAGACTCTTAATTCAGATCTCTCTTACTGAATGTCATTATTAACTATCATTGAGCGAAAATTAATTTATCTTATTTTCTGATGATTTGAAAATATTTATCGAGACATAGTCTGTTGAGGATTAAATATCTTCGAGATGATATTGATTCGGGTGATAACCACATCGAACTCAACATTCACAAAACTAAATTTGTCCTTGCAATTTGTATCATTGTATCTTCCCTTCTACCTACGTATTACACCAATTATTTTTCGATTCGTTTATATCGATCATATGTACCATTTGATTACGTGAAACCTGGATCTAAAAGTCTTACAATATAGAATGATTTACATTAAAATGCAAGTCTGATTCAATTTATAAACATTCTTCTATTTAACTAAGTACAAGGACGTGTTTGCATGCATGTATGTACGTGTTTGGTATGGTTCTTTTGTACCTGGAATAAAGTAGTAAGCCGACGAGGAATGCAGAACAATGGAATGCATTTGGAAAGGAAGTGTAGACTCTACACATTCTCACTCTTCTTTCTTGTCAGGTTCGGTGAAAGCTGGATAAATAATTGTCAAAATAACATAGGAACTACATGTTTGCTAAGCGAGGTATTTCTGCCGTGGAAATGTCCTATTTAATAAAAAAAGTCGAATAAAAATGCAATCGTTCACGTAGCCAATGGCCCGTTTTTTTTATGGATGCTAAGCGAGGTATTTCTGCCGTGGAATTGTCCTATTTAATAAAAAAGTCGATTAAAAATACAATCGTTCACGTAGCCAATGGCCACTGAACGAGTTTTGGTCACTTCTGCGAATCTACTGTCACGTGACCACATGAGCCAATCAGTTGGTTTATAAAATACTCAGTTGCTATAAGTGTGAAGCAAAGGCTAATTATGTATTATATACATGTATGCGCCATCCACCTTCATTCACAAAGGACAAGTTACCTAACAACCCCTTTTTTAGTTTTAAGACACTGTTTACCATTTTTAGCAATGCGTCTCGTACGTAGAAATGATGAACCTAGCAGAGACGACTTGCGCCTGCGCTGTGAGTCCGCCCGCAGTCAACTTTTTTTGCATCGTTGGTTGGCAGCATTCATGTCGATCACATCAGAAAGTTCTTCGTCATGCTCACAAAAGAAAGCCAGTGTGTCCTATTCTGAACCAGCTGAATCCAGGCTTTTTTTCCCCTCGCATCTACGCTCTGGTTTCCAAAGTGGTTTCTTTCCTTCTGGTTTTGTGACTTAAATGTTATAAATATTTTGTATCGTCTTGATGCACGCTGCATGTCAAACCCACGT